GTTGAGGCATCCTTTGAATTGTCTCGTCTTCCACTTTTTCGATGTAGCCATCAGTTCCAATCTGTAAGTCTTTCAGGTTCAAGGGTTCTTGGAAAAACAGGCTCTACCATCACAAAAAAACGCCTCTGGATAAATACATTCAACGTCCGGAGAATGACCACAGTTCATGGTACCAATACATCTGTAAATCAGGGAAGGTGCCAGTAATTTCTGGAAGTCAAGTAAGAGCAACATGGCCACTTCAGGAAGATTATTGCCGTACAATGATATTACTGCACAAGCCTAACTGGAGAAGAATCAATGATGTTAAAGACAACAATGAAAGGTGGATTGATGTATTTACAGTTTTCTCATCTTCAGAATTATGTTCCAACTTTGTTAAAGCAGACGTTGAAAGAGCACAGCAACATAACGAATCTGATGCTATTCATCCGGATGATGAAGAGTGCGAAGAAAATTTAAATGCTTAAAAGCCAGAATGGATGGATCTTTTGGAACCAAATCCTGATTTTGATTGTAACATCCAAGACTTCACATAGGATGATGGAGGACCAAATTATGATTGGAGAGCTGAGACTATTCCATATTCATTTGACAAAGGCATCAAATTTCTGGAAAACCTGAACAAGCAACTTCCTCATAACAACAATATCCCAGGCCTTGATCTCCCTGATGTTTCACATCATTCTTTGAACAGTGAACAGATCTTTGCATACTATCTCGTTATGGACACACTTACACAGTACAATGATGAAAAATCTTACTTTCAGCCATTGCGGATGATTGTTGCTGGCACTGCAGGTTCCGGAAAAAGTTTTCTGATACAGTGTCTAGTAAGGTCTATAAGACAATTGTTCAAATCAAACAAAGCTGTACAAGTACTTTGTCCAACAGGAAATAGTGCAAATTTGAATTCCGGAGTCACAATTCACAGTTTTCTGAAGATTCTCACTGGACCCAAATCTGCCAAAGAAATGACACCTCCAGTTAGAAATACTTTATCTAGGCTTCAAGAAGATTGTGACGGGGTTCATGTCTTACTTGTAGATGAAAGATCTCTTGCTGGCTGTACCACTCTGGGATGGATGAACTATACTTGCCGTTATAGCATGAACAATGGCTCCCAGTCTTCTTCATCATGGGGAGGACTTCCTGTAGTTGTCTTCTTTGGTGATGATGTGCAACTGCCACCTGTCTGTGATTCTCCTGTTTAAAAATGCACGAGTAACAAACCAGCATCTCTTCATGGAGCACTTGCATGGAAAGAATTTACAACAGCAGTAACTCTTCACGTCATTATTCGCCAAAACTCAAACCAAACACAACTAAAGGATGCCCTGACAGCACTACGTGATTATACGTTTTCACCCATGCAAGCTAATTGATTACAGAACTTTCAGTGGGACACCCTCAGGAAAGATTATAGCCAGTTTTTGCTTGACAGAATGGCAGATCATGGTTTATTTGTGTTTCCAACACATGCAAAAGAATGGGAACACAACAAACATCAAATTTTGTAATTAAATCAGATATCTGCAATTGCTAGAATTTCAGCTATTGATCAAGGCCAGCATTGTAAAGCTGTATCCAGCGACTCCTCAAATGTCTTAACCAAAACATTGCTTTTGTGTAGAGTGTAGAGGTGCCAAAGTTATGCTTACATGTAACTTGAATGTTAAGCATGGACTTTCCAATGGTTCCATTTGGGCAGGTTGTTAACATTCTATACCTGAATGGCAACAAACCAGACAACAGCATTCCAGATGTTGTCAATGTAAACTTCATCAAATATACAGGTCCTCCATCTATTGACAGCCACCCAAAATTGGTGACCATAGTCCCTGTTGAAAGGAAAGTAGATTGTTATTACTTCAATTGCAAGAGAAAACAAATTCCGCTAAGGTTAGAATGGAGCACAACAATTCCTCGTTGCCAAGGAATGACCATCGGTAATGGAGAAGCCAATCGATACATAATCATTCATCCTGGAAACAAAAAACCTTCGAGATCAGAAATCCAGGTGCATTATTTGTAGCACTGTCAGGTGCAAAAACAGGTGGAGGGGATGTCTATGCCAGGAGGTATGCACTAAAACTACTAAAGCAAGGGCAAAATGAAATTGAAAGAATGAAGTTGCTTTGGAAACACACCCTCATGTTTTGGTCAATGAAGACCGACTTTGTCAGAAAGTATGCACTGAAACCAATAAAGCACGGGCAAATGAAATTGAAAGAATTAAGTTGCTTTGGAAACACAACCTCATCATACAGGAATATGATTTCCCCTGCCAATAACTACATTCAGAGGAATAATTGAACTGAAGACCATCTATACATCACACTTTGTTGCTTTACTACTCTAGTGGTGGGTGATATGACAATCGCTAACCCAGAGTTTTGTGTGACATATTGAATAGTCATTAGCCAAATAGTCTATATTTTACAGTTTCATCTATACATCATCATTTATCCATTAAAAAACATGAAATCAGAAATCCATATGCATTAATAACCCTAGTTAACATACCCAAAATACTTTAATTCCATTAATTTCTGTTGTGATATTTTCAGTCAATGATTTGTACTTAAAACAGCGGCCTTGTCTGTGAACCCTAACATTCACTGTAAACACTTTGTATACATGTACATTTGGTTATATTTGAAATGCATTTCATGATAAATAATATCCTAATTAAAGATAACCTGTTCAATTGTTCAACAAATATTGACATGTAATTTGTTGCAAACACTCCTGTGTTGTGTCATACCACAATTTTATTGCAATCATCAATCATTTTATCACAGCTTACTGGTATGGTAAGCTGTGCAACATACAGCTGGCTATAACTACCCTTTATTATACAAATGATATTGTAAGGCAGAAAATATCAACGACATTAAAAAGGAGTAGAAAGTTTCATCTGGTTGTACAGCTTTCTAAATGAGTGGTTGGGAGATAGTGCTACTAATTCATGAAGTACATGGTATATTTGTAACTTTGACTTAATGTCTATTGTTTTAGTGTCTATCATTGTTTCCACCTATATTTATTGATGAACTGAAAAACTGAAGTCAATAAATGAATTGAATTAATTATATAGGCTTCCAGTTTAACAGAAGTATCAGTCGGAGGGTAGCACAAATTAAATTTCAGTGTTGTTTGGGGATAGCACGTGCACACAGACGGATACATTACTGGGAGTGCAGATACTCCAAACTATTCTTGGACATCCCTGGGGGTCCATTGTTGGACACCTGTCTGAGCTTGTCGCTATGGATTTCAATTAATTGTTTCAGTTTAGCAATGGCCAGCAATAATCGTCAAATTGTGTTTAAAATATGTAATATATTATGTATATATACTAGTATACAATTGTATATAGATATATGGGCAAAACACATGTATACTTGTTCTGTCTTACGCTTTTTATTCCCCATTATCATGCTTAGAAAATGGGAAGGAGTGTGAAAGCTCAAATGAAATACATTTGAAATTTATACATACATATAGATCTATAGTATCCTATCATTTTGTTTCCAATCCTGATCAAACTGGATTTATGCACGTATAAAATTTTCTCTACGATCATTTCCTCAAAATTATCAAGAATATGGCACGTAATTGATTTTGAATATAATCCAGACACAATGTAGTTTAATTTGTGAGAATAAATACCATATATTCATCTTATTAAGTGTAATTATGTGTCAGATATTTAGTACAAGTATGTGTACCCATATTTATGTTTATGTTCATCTCCACAATGAAGACCTCTATAAATGTGCCAGAGCTTCTTGTAACTTGCCAAACTAACCATTACTGTAATGATCCAGTGTACAACTACCCAACAAGGCATTGCATGAATTAAGTAATTCTAATTAACTCATATTAATTTACGTTGCACAGATAAAAATAAAGATGTACCATACATCATTACATGTAGGCCTAACTCATCCTGGCAATAAAAGCTTTTGTTTATTCTACATATGAATATTGAAAATGGTTAACGTTATGTAGGCCTAGCTAAAATACTATTATCCCTCATTCATCCACAAGGGCATGTCGCATTTATATTATTAAAAAAAAAGGGAATACTGTAGACAGACATCTGTTTCCTGAATTTTTTTTTTTTTTTTTACACCTTTCTGACTGCAATTTCTGTTTGTTCGGAATTTCAAAATTATTTAACCCGTACATTAGTTGTAATGTGAAAAAAGAAACTTTTCTCGGTTGAGCGCGGCGTACAAGTTTTCAGCACCTGCAAAAACGAAGTCGTCGATTTAAGACAAAAAATTAGTATTTTCTGTTTTTTTTTTTTTTTTTTGATAATATAAATGCGACATGCCCCTGTGATTCATCTCTGAAGATTGGAATATTTCCTTTTAATATGAAAGTTCTAGATAAAGAATTGTCACAATATTATCACATCCTTGGTACAACCTATGATTGTACATAGGGATATATGCTCCGCCCTCATTAACGGCTGTGCCGTAAAGCATATTAAATACATAATTAGATGTGAATTACGTCCCTTTCTGACTGCAATTTCTGTTTGTTCGGAATTTCAAAATCATTTAACCCGTACATTAGTTGTAATGTTAAAAAAAAACTTTTCTCGGTTGAAGGCGGCGTTCAAGTTTTCACCACCTGCAAAATCGTATTCGTCGATTTAAGATAATTAATAAATCAAACTGAATTATTTCAAATTGTCAGATTTTAAAAAGAGCCGGGCCGGGTACGGCGTGCTCGATTTCACCACCACCTAGTAAATCACCGATGTAAGAAAATCGAGGTAATGGAATGAATTCATTCGGTGTAAGATTTTGTATATATGTATATATACTTATGTATATCTATGTAGAAAATTTGAAAATTATCTAGATTTTTGGTTCTCAAGATCGATATTCTTTCTTATAACCTACAGCGTACACAAATAAGCGTCTTGTTAACCGAGACTAGTAAAGGAAGTTAGTCCGATAAGCCAATCAAAATCTTTGTTACGGCATGTGTTGAACAGACTTGTTGCCAACAACACCAGGCGATTATTCTGTGAATGGTCAAGCAGTGAAAAAAACCAGTATGGTAAGAACCGATTATATATCTGTTTTTGTTATGAAAATGTATAGATAAACTTTTCATGTTACTTTCCTTCATTTTAGAATGATAAGTTGATAATAAGTTTCTGTAAATCGCTCTGTGGAGCTCTTAAAAATGTTTACGGTTTACACTGTTGTATCGATATCAACACATTACCTTACCAACTTTTAATCAACAGTACAGTACTCCATGACTGCAAGTTAATCATTTTAAGCAATTTTAATTAAAGTGCATTGTTACATTACGCGTTGTTGTGAATCAAACGTTGGGTAAACTTTATTCAGTGTAAATTTACTGACTGAAACATAACCCAAACATACTCACGATATCATGTTGAATAAAGTTGTTTCTACATCAAGGTAGCAAATATGATTTGAATAGTATGTGTAGATAGTGAATGAAATCATACCTTCAAAGTCGAACTTAGTTACTACAATATAGCGAGTACTTTATGATAATTTGAATGGAAATTCAAAGCTTTGATATATGGAAGCCAACAAAGGCCCACACACTGCCATATGTGACCAGCCTCAGAAAACTGGCCCACTGCAACTTTTCACAGAACAGACTGTGAACTTCCAACCTACACTCCGTCCCAACATTCATGTGGATAAAAAAATCAAAAGTTTAAAAAAGATTCAAACAAACTTAGCAAAGATGATTTACTTTTAAATTTTGAAACCTCTAACACCCAAGACTTGTCTAACAACATAGATTTTAACTTATAAAGATTAAAACATATTTGATTTCATATTCATCTAACTTTAGGTTTAAAATATGGAACAAAATCATACTAATAATGGAATGGAGAAAAGTTGTGTTTAGACAAATAATTCATTTCATGTATAAAGCTATCACCACTTGCCCTTCACACATTATAAAAAAGGATTTGTGCATTTAGTATTGATATCAATGGGCACATTGACAGGTATGTCTCTAGATTGAGAAAAACAAGATACACAAAGTAGTTTTGTATCATAATTTATAATTTAAGGACGTAGCTAAATTTGTATGTATTTGTATTTATTAGGTTTTGTTTGGACTTACGCCTGTTTCGTATTAATTTCGTTGGCATAGTATCTTATCTTATATGGCAGCCATGCAATCAGCTGAACCACTTTCTACTTACAACTGTTCAGAGATGTAGTTTTACCAACTATTTACAACTGCTCAGAGATGTAGTGTTACCAACTATTTACAACTGTTCAGAGATGTAGTGTTACCAACTATTTACAACTGCTCAGAGATGTAGTGTTACCAACTATTTACAACTGTTCAGAGATGTAGTGTTACGAACTATTTACAACTGTTCAGAGATGTAGTGTTACGAACTATTTACAACTGTTCAGAGATGTAGTGTTACCAACTATTTACAACTGTTCAGAGATGTAGTGTTACCAACTATTTACAACTGTTCAGAGATGTAGTGTTACCAACTATTTACAACTGTTCAGAGATGTAGTGTTACCAACTATTTACAACTGTTCAGAGATGTAGTGTTACCAACTATTTACAACTGTTCAGAGATGTAGTGTTACCAACTATTTACAACTGTTCAGAGATGTAGTGTTACCAACTTGAGCTTGTAATAAATCCATGTCATGGTGGTTAATGAACAGATCCTACTTTTAATTTACAGAGTGAAGGTTGTGAAGACAGATACTGCTTCATTGCAGAGTGGTATGATCCACACGCTGCATTTAAACGGAGGTACCAGTTCATGTACTACGTAAAGGACAAAACTGTGGAGATGGTAATATATTTCACCACTTTATTTTATCTGTAATATTTTTGTTTGTAAAAACATGAAGAAAAATACTAGCAAATATAACTGTCTTGTGAGAAAATGGTAAACAAGAGAAAATTTTAGTATTACAGGATAAAACCATCTGGTATAGTCTACCAAATTAGGTATATGTCATTGTGCTGTTGTGTTGTCAGCTCTCAGAAATTATTTTGACAGTGCTCATGATAATCATTAGAAATGAAAAAATACTATATAAACTAGGGTAGCAACACTTGAAGTAGTGATTTTTTTTGGTGCAATGAAATCATACTGACTCCTGAATATTGCATACATGTAGAAAGTTGATATCTCACGTAAAGTATTAACATCTTTTTATCTTTTTACTTTCAGTTTGATGTTAAGAATCACAGGGTGTTTCTGAAAAGAACTAAGATGGATGAGCTGAGATTGGAGGATCTCTACATCAACAGCACTCTCAACGTTTTCTCCAGACAACTCAATTTTGTAGATTATGGTGATGAGTTCACAAGAAGGAAATTAGCCAACAAGAAAGAGAGGTAACTACCACTGAAATCTTACCCACATGGACAACACAGGATTGCTTAGCATCATGTCAAAATCACTGTTACAATATGTAGAATTTTTTTATTTCAGTAAACAGTTCGGCTTGGCTTATGACATACATACATATATAAAAATCATACCATATAAGAGAAATCTACTGACTTTTACGTTTTCAAACTGGCAACAGTTGCTACATAATACAGATTAGATCTGCTGAAAATCTGATCATTTCTAATATTTAAACATTAAGATTTAAACTTGTGAAGAAACTTGTTATATATGTATTTGTATAAGCCATGGGTGTTGGTGCACTCACAGTAAAGGAGTCAAATCAAGAGATGACATTATCCCAGAACCTATGTCAGCTTGAAACTTGACCATGATGTCAGTTTTTACAACATTTACTTCAGTTCTACTGTTTCCGTTGAGCTGGTTGGTGAGGACGATACGGCATGGCGTCCCTAGCAGTTATTTTCTAACATGTTTCCACAAGCATGACTTTACTGAACAACACCTGTTTCAAACTTCTTATTAAGTTTCATCAGTGAAATTTAGCTCCACTGAAATGATCCTGTGGTAGCCCTGACCAAGTGTTCTTATCTTTTGGGCAGGTCTTCTTTATCTTAGTAAGATAAACACAAGTGATTCAAAAACTGATGAATCAAATACTGTGTTTGTCAAAATCTTTTTGTGGTTCATCCCTTCTTATTTCTAGCAAAATTTGCTCTTTTGTCATGAACATTCAGGCATCACCTTGTCTCATGTAAAAATCTCCCGGCTTCAGTCTAAATGACTGAGTGTGATCAGTCAGCCATATTTGTGTTAATGGTCCCAGTTATCATAAGTTTCTGGTATCAATAAAACTCTAATCCCTGCATTCCTACAGGTGTACAGGCGAAGGTTTAAATTTGTAAGGTGTTAGCCAACAAAACTTAAAATGAAATACACTGTCGTCTGTTAATCGTAAATCTGCCATGTTCTGTTAAATTTTTTATGCGCATGACTGCCAGAATACCAAAAGGAAAAATATACACGATTAACTGCCACACAAATGAAGATTAATAAACTAGTTTGTCATTGACATGTCAGTTTATAATAAATACTGGATATACATGTACCTATACAAACTGCAAGTTTTATTTTATTCTTTACAAAACCTGTCAGCAATATGTTCCCGCCAATAGATACTGACAAGTGAAGGGTCAATCTTCATTGCACAAAGTTTCCATTCATAGAAACATGTCTAAGCCGAACCATCAGATAAGTTGTATATTTCATGTGGTCACGTAGACACTGACTTAACCGTGTTTTATTGCATATTCAATTTGATCCTTTATAGTCAGAGATCTGTTCAGACAGGAAACCTCTTATTTCTTTTTCTACAGGACACTGGGTTTAATCAAACCAGATGCAGTGCCAAAAATGGGCCAGGTTCTGGACGTCCTTTTTAAGAATGGTTTCCTGATTGCCAACATGAAGATGTGTCGTCTGAATCGTACTGAAGCCCTGGAATTTTACCAGGAACACCAAGGAAAGACATATTTTGAGTAAGAGTCCAGAATCATCTGTTTTTTAGTGTTGTCTTCAACTCAGCAAGAAGATAAAAAAGAAAAATGAAAAAAATATCTACCCCTAAAAATCTAGCAAAAAATCAAATAAATAATAACAACAAATGAAAAGAAGGAGTAACTATGTGGAATTATAGAGAGACTTGTATTTCTGGTATTTTTAATTTCAGCAATACCTGACTAGAGTGACTTCAATGTTGTGGTATACTTTATTCAACAGCTTTTTTTATTAAACAATTTTTTCGTTAAAAGTTGATCAGTTATTGCAACTTATGAAATACTCCATCCCAAATTGCAATTGGAAAATATTGTTGACTTTGGGTTTAGTTGTAAAGTATGTGTGACTTTGGGTTTAGTTGTAAAGTATGTGTGACTTTGGGTTAAGTTGTAAAGTATGTGTGACTTTGGGTTTAGTTGTAAAGTAAAGGTGACTTTGGGTTTAGTTGTAAAGTATGTGTGACTTTGGGTTTAGTTGTTAAGTATGTGTGACTTTGGGTTTAGTTGTAAAGTATGTGTGACTTTGGGTTTAGTTGTAAAGTATGTGTGACTTGGGTTTAGTTGTAAAAGTATGTGTGACTATGGGTTTAGTTGTAAAGTATGTGTGACTATGGGTTTAGTTGTAAAGTATGTGTGACTTTGGGTTTAGTTGTAAAGTATGTGTGACTTTGGGTTTAGTTGTAAAGTATGTGTGACTTTGGGTTTAGTTGTAAAGTATGTGTGACTTTGGGTTTAGTTGTAAAGTATGTGTGACTTTGAGTTTAGTTGTAAAAGTATGTGTGACTTGGGTTTAGTTGTAAAGTATGTGTGACTTTGGGTTTAGTTGTAAAGTATGTGTGACTTTGGGTTTAGTTGTAAAGTATGTGTGACTTTGGGTTTAGTTGTAAAGTATGTGTGACTTTGGGTTTAGTTGTAAAGTATGTGTGACTTTGGGTTTAGTTGTAAAGTATGTGTGACTTTGGGTTGTAAAAGTATGTGTGACTATGGGTTTAGTTGTAAAGTATGTGTGACTTTGGGTTTAGTTGTAAAGTATGTGTGACTTTGGGTTTAGTTGTAAAGTATGTGTGACTTTGGGTTTAGTTGTAAAGTATGTGTGACTTTGGGTTTAGTTGTAAAGTATGTGTGACTTTGGGTTTAGTTGTAAAGTATGTGTGACTGGGTTTATTTGTAAAGTATGTGTGACTTGGGTTTAGTTGTAAAGTATGTGTGACTATGGGTTTAGTTGTAAAGTATGTGTGACTATGGGTTTAGTTGTAAAGTATGTGTGACTTTGGGTTTAGTTGTAAAGTATGTGTGACTTTGGGTTTAGTTGTAAAGTATGTGTGACTTTGGGTTTAGTTGTAAAGTTTGTGTGACTTTGGGTTTAGTTGTAAAGTATGTGTGACTTTGGGTTTAGTTGTTAAAGTATGTGTGACTTTTGGTTTAGTTGTAAAGTATGCGTGACTTTTGGTTAAGTTGTAAAGTATGTGTGACTTTTGGTTAAGTTATAAAGTATGCGTGACTTTGGGTTTAGTTGTAAAGTATGTGTGACTTTGGGTTTAGTTGTAAAGTATGTGTGACTTTGGGTTTAGTTGTAAAGTATGTGTGACTTTGGGTTTAGTTGTTGTATGTGTGAAGTAAAGTTTGTGTGACTTTGGGTTTAGTTGTTATGTGTGACTTTGTTTAAATGTGTGACTTTGGGTTTAGTTGTTAAGTATGTGTGACTTTGGGTTTAGTTGTAAAGTATGTGTGACTTTGGGTTTAGTTGTAAAGTATGTGTGACTTTGGGTTTAGTTGTAAAGATTTGGTGACTTTGGGTTTAGTTAAGGTGTTGTTTGGTAACCAGATATATCTATGATCCCTTGCAGTACTCTGTTGAACTACATAACCAGTGGCCCAATTATAGCTATAGAGTTGATGGGCCCAGACTGTGTCTCACAATGGACTGACCTCCTTGGACCCACAGATCCAGCCACTGCAAGGACCCAGGCACCAAATTCCATCAGGGCCAGATTTGGGAAAGGTTAGTCAGTTTTATGGTTTACCTCATAACTTTCCTATCATTTAAGAGACTAGTACAATATTCCGCTTGACTTTTTATCAATCAGTTGAAGTCATGCAGAATCAACTACAAAGACTTGTGTGTGAGAGCTTGTTATAATCTTTCTATGTGAATTTTTGATTCCACTATCAGCCTTGGCTCTTTAGAAGCTTGAGAGGCATTGAGAAGGCTTCCTGAAATTGAAGACATATGGTTTATCATCAACAATGTTTGTGCAACTGGGAACATGTTTAACCCTGAAATGTACATTGTATTTTAGTGTTGCCAACACTAGATATCTGTGGTCTCTGATTTGTAGTTATCTCCCTTCCATTAAGCCACTTAGGAATATGGCTAAATTCCTTTTGCAAACTGTTTGCTTCAATGAGGTATTCTTAAGCGGACGTTTCATTTCGAGGCTGATTATACTTCTTGTCTTTAGATATACAATGATCTTTACAATCTTGTTACAGATTCTATACAGAATGCCTGTCACGGTTCCGATAGCATTGGAGCAGCAGCCAGAGAAATAGAATTTTTCTTCCCATCAAATGGCAGTCCTGTACAAAAATCCACAGCCATATTCTCAGATTGTACATGCTGTGTGATAAAACCACACGCAGTTAAATCAGGTAGGTTTTCTATACTGAAATTTGTGTGAGTTAATACTTTATAGTCATTAAACAGTAGATGATAGTCCCAGTGAAATGAAAGTCTCCTCAGACAAGTCAGTTTAACACAATACTTTATATGATATTCAAGATGTTTTCAGAATCTGACCACCTCGGACAAGTCAGGTCAATACTCAGCATGGTGTGACAATGATTAATCTGGAGGTTTTCAGAATAAGGCCACCTTTGGCAACTCAGTTTGACACTTAATACCTTGTGACTGTGATAAATCAAGAGGTTTTCAGAATTTGACTACCTTGGACAAGTCAGTTTGACACTTAATACCTTGTGACTGTGATAAATCTAGAGGCTTTAAGAATGATGTTAGCTTGGACAAGTCTGGATGATAACATGCAGAACTATTGGACAAATATTACTATATTTATCTTGTACTAACATTCATTGATTCTTCAGATTCTCTTGTTTTAGGTTCAATTTATCAAAATATATTGATCATTTGAGGATATTTTACATTTGAATAGAAATTAAAATCAATATAACTTATTTTCTTTTCTTTTGCCATTTTTTTTTTTTAAATTTGACTTTTGAAATATTGGAAACTATTATTTAAGCATTATATTATGTTTAAAAGTGATGAGTGTTTATTAAGTAAATCGTTGATTGATGCTTCTACAAGTTTTTAAATTTCTTTACATCAGTAGTAAACTTCTAGATCAATATATGGTCAAGAATGCTGGGAATGTACGTTTCAGTAATATATATCTGTAAGACCATGATTCCATTTGAAATGGTGATATCTGATTGTAACCTACCTTACAGGGGCAGCAGGAGACATTATCAGCAAGATAATGGAGGCTGGATTTGAGATCTCAATGCTTCAAGTGTTTCACATGGAGAAGGCCAATGCAGAAGAATTCTACGAAGTTTACAAGGGTGTTGTTCAAGAATATGGTGAAATGGTGAATGAGCTTACCTCTGGACCTTGTATTGCTTTAGAGATTCGTGCCAATGATGCCCCAAAAGCCTTCAGGGATATGGTTGGCCCAGCAGATCCTGTAAGTTCATAACAGAGGATAATGTGATCTCTGTGTAAGCCCACAATCATCAGATGAAGGGCAGTGAAATTTCTTTTAAATACTTGGTCTGTCCTTAAACACTTCTTGCTATCTTACATTAAGTTCTGGATGGATCTTTCTCCTATTCCAGCTGTACGTTAATTGTAATTAGTTTATTAGTTTCTCAGTTTTCACACTGATCAGAAAAACAAAATGGCTGACAGTCATTTTGTATTTTGGCGAGGAATGTTTGTTATCACCATTTTGTTTTTAGTCTCATTAAAGTCTTACCTTCAATGGACCTTAAAGATATAAGTTAAATGATTAAAGCCTTAAATTTCAATGGAGTTTAAAAATCTGAGTTAACTAATTAAAAGTTTTAAACTTCACACAATTTATACATGATATAAAGATAATGGGAAAAGTGGGTGACATTTGTTATTGTATATGTTTCTATTTGCAAAGTTGTAAGCTAGATCCTGTATCATGCATGTGTCTGCATGACATATACACAAAGATTTGAGTGTGTTGTGCAATCCGACAACTGTATGTATGAATCTGATAGGTGGACTGTAATACATGGAAATATTTTTGATATCAATGTGAATAGTGTTTTGCAATGATTTTTGGAAATGTCAGACGAGTGATGGATCCAAATTTAAACCAATGTGTTTTGTTATGTGTTGATAGGAAATAGCCCGCCATCTACGACCCAGGACATTGAGAGCTAAATTTGGAAATAACAAGATACAGAATGCTGTCCACTGTACAGACCTCCCAGAGGATGGAGAACTAGAGGTACTGTCCTGTCCCCACCCTTCACACTTAGGTAAATAGGGTATATATGTACTGTACAGACCTTCCAGAGGACGGAGAACTAGAGGTACTGTTCTGTCCCCACCCTTCACACTTAGGTAAATAGGGTATATATGTACTGTACAGACCTTCCAGAGGACGGAGAACTAGAGGTACTGTTCTGTCCCCACCCTTCACACTTAGGTAAATAGGGTATATATGTACTGTACAGACCTTCCAGAGGATGGAGAACTAGAGGTACTGTCCTGTCCCCACTCTTCACACTAAGGTAAATAGGGTATATATGTACTGTACAGACCTTCCAGAGGACGGAGAACTAAAGATACTGTCCTGTCCTCACTCTTCACAGGTAAATAGGGTATATATGTACTGTACAGACCTTCCAGAGGACGGAGAACTAGAGATACTGTCCTGTCCTCACTCTTCACAGGTAAATAGGGTATATATGTACTGTACAGACCTTCCAGAGGACGGAGAACTAGAGGTACTGTCCTGTCCCCACTCTTCACAGGTAAATAGGGTATATATGTACTGTACAGACCTTCTGTTGATGTACTGCTTCAGTCAGCTGTGATGTGACAGTGCGCTAGTTTCTTTATGGGAAGTTAGGATGGGCATGCTGTAATTGTTTTTGTGTAAGTAAGCTGTGAGGCGCCATTTTTCGTAAATTTCTGTCGGAGAAGTTTGGTTGTAGTACTGTAATCACTTTGTGTAAGTTTCAGTCTGGGTAGTTAGGTGGGTATACCATAATTACTTTTATGTAAGTCAGCTGTAATACAACAGTTCTATAATTTCTGGCTGGGTAGTTAGGATGACATAATTGACTTTTGCAGTTTGATTCTATGGGGAACAAAGGGCTGCAACAACACTCCTCCAATGCACTTGGTTCTGACTGGTCCTCTTTAGCTCGGCCCATGTCATTACGGCAACCGTTTTGTTGGCATCAATGTTCCTACGACAAGTCTGCTTTGAACGACCCACTTTCTGCTTCCCTTGTGGAGTCAAAGGCCTGCCTGTTGATGTTGGGTGCAGGCTTCCATAGAATGTAGCCCATCCAACCCCATTTTGGCTTTTTTGATCAGTTAGGACTTGTTTTGTCACATCCCAAAGTTGTTCATTGAAGACAACCTCTGGCCACCTGATATTGAGGATGTTTCTAAGACATCTGTTGATGAATGTGTTTAGTTTGTATGTGCTGGTCTGGGGTCACTCAATAGGTTTCTGAACCATAGAGTAGGACTGACTTTACATTGGTGTTGAAGATCCAGCTGTTGTTGCAGAGTGAGAGGTTGTTGTTCACCAGATTGGACGAAAGGTTTTGAAAGTTAGTCAGCTGTGCTGCACCATAATCACTTTTATGTTAGTCAGCTGTGGTGCGACATTTATCTAGTCTCTGTCTGGGTAGTTGGATGGGTGTACTGTAATCACTTTTTTGTAAGTAGCAGTAATGCAACTGTTTTTTAGCTTATGTCTTATTAAGTATTTTGGATGGGAAAACTCTGATAGTCACTTGTACACCAACTGGGGCTGTGGTGGTCTAAAGTTTCTCACTGTCTTTATCACTAACCCTTCACCTCGGGGTTGTAGGTTCCAGACCTACGTAGGGCTATCACCAAGTACTAGCCACATGTACATGGTTCTACTCAGAGAAATCCTGCTTTTATCCACCTCCCAAACACCCTTAAATGACCCCGGCTTTTAACAGGATGTAAAGCAACAATGAAACCACGAAGCTAAAACCCAGTTGGAAGGTCACTCAGTTTAAACGTTATATTCTTTTTACTTTTCACAGTTTAAGAAGGTTCTTGGCATTGATGATCAATTTTGTTCTTTTGTTAATATCATGTTTTTACTTCCTTTACAGGTTGAATATTTCTTCCGAATCCTGGGTTGCTGATTCAGAGAGAAACGGAGTACGCCATCATTTTAAAGAGTGGATAAAAAAAACCTTTAAACTTGAGAAGGAAACATTTTACAACAGCTACTTTAGTGTTGTTGCAGGACAGGTGATTCATAAGACCATTATAGACTGTTGGTCCGTGGAGGAACTGACTGCATATACAGTGCTGTGTTAATCATTATAAACATGATAAAAATCTGTGATCTTTGTATAAACAACCTTTTATACGCCATGAAAATCTTACATTGTAAAACATAGATGGAAGGATGTCTATGCAGTATCTATGTAAATACTTACCCATGAATACATTATTTAACTATAAACCACTTTGTTCTGTTCTCTGTCACGTGTCCATCCCTAGACAATCAGACATTTTTGTTTTCTATTCAACGTCGCCAAAACACTGACGTTCGTCATTAAGACGAGGGAGTCAAGGAGATGGAAATCCTGTCAATCAGTTGTCTGTGTATCAGATTTCGGGACATGAGAGCCAGGATATTTTATAAGTGAAAGTATCCCTTTTTCCCTAGCTATGCATATTACTACATATTGCAGTCCAAGATGGCCGACAAGAGGCCGTTATATTTTTTAAGAGTTTAAGATTGTTGGAGCACTTTCTCCAATTTGTTGACATAAGAAATATTTTTACCCAAATTAAAGTTCACAATGTTAGGTAATTTGATTGATCCTTTGGTTGAAATATTGAGTTAGGTTGAATAGGAATGATTGGCAGAAAAGGTTGAAAATCATTTTACTTCTGAATTGGAGGTTAATGTTTAGCATAGCATGTTTTATATAAATTTGATTTCAACCCATTTTGAAGGCTTTGAATACATATGATGCAGTCTAGGAGGCCCCATGTTGTATTTTCTCTCTTGTTGCAGGTTAATTCCTCATTATACACAGCCAGAGTATCATCGGCTCTTTAAGTTGGGTTTGTTTATCATAAATTATTTCAATGTTATTTTTTTTTCACTTTTTGATTCAACAATTTTTCAAAGAGTTATGGACCTTTGTTTTTGTATCCTTTGGCTGCGAATTATGTTTGCTTGGTATATCACATGGGGCCCAATCTATGGACCTGTATGTCCTTCCATCTGTCTGTCCAAGTAACTTTTCTGGACTACAACCTGGAAATCATTCTACCGATCTCTACAGAGACTTGGTATACATACAAATACATTGGGATAGCGCCTTAGTCATGCTGTTTGCTATCTGCGAGATTTCATTTACACATTTTTTATTATCATTATTAATTATAATTATTATTATCAAAGTCAGAGATTCAAAATTTACTGTTCACATGCTTTTCTATGTAAGGCTGAAAACTATATCACTGATGTCCTTACATCAACAATGTCATAGAGAACATATATCAGATGCTGAGGTAGGTCTATACATGTTTAGATGTTCAACAGCAGGATGGACAATGCCACACCTTGTAACTCCTTCACCAGAATTTACATATTGTTCAGATATTTCTCAGATTTTTCAACCAATCCATTTAAGACATGATGTTCTATAGAAAAGAATCCTTATAATACAAATTGTAGAAGATTTGAGTGTGACGTTTTCATCATTACAATATCACCTTTATCAGACAAATGACCAGTGTTGAGAGGACAAGCACTGACATAAGTAGTTCACAAAGCAACCAGCTTTTGCAGCTGTACTGTTATCGCATTTGTACACTAAGGTAGTAAACAGTGTGATCAGATGGTAAACAGATTATAGAAAAAAGTACACAAGATAGTAATAACATACTGCAGTCAATTTGACTAATCTTTGCTTAACACTTGGTCAGAGCTGTGCGAAAGTCTGTAGACCTCACCCCTTGTCCCTGTATAGTCCTGGCCTGCTGCTGCATATCTAGATGGCCTCCTTGCCCCACTGAATGAAATAATTGTTTTCCCTGTCAACAATTTTAGAATTTTCCCAGTCTTTGATACGTTTTGAAGGGATTATCTAATTGTCGATATCTTGCCCTGGGACTGAGAACGCTTTCGCTCTGGTGTTAAATTCATTGTCCAAACACTGATTTCTCTCTCTATATATTGACTTACCGTTACCATTTCCATAATATTTAATCATTTATATTTAATAATATTAATTTTGATGAATTAAATCACAAATATTTCTTTGGTCTGGTAGGGTTGTACCTGTACCCTGTGGTACTTGTTTTCTTTTTCTTACTTGACGGGCCACTTTGAGTCCTAGCGTTCGATTTTCTGGCAGTGTGATCCACGTTTGGAATTGATATCATATTTTGTGAACCCCTACTCAACAAATCATATCAACCTGATATTATTATAAATAACACCTACATATCATCATACTAAAATGGTCACCAGTCAGGGTTAAAGGGTCAAAGGTCACATTTGACAACTTCAGAAAATTCATCAAGCAGTGATACATGAGGTAGTATCCATGTCTTACTCATATTTTCTAGTTTTTCTTTAAATGTTGGATGGGCAGAAGTACTGTAGAATTGTTAATATTTGCGAGATGTTTATTTTCACCATATTTGCCATTATTAAAGAGAGAGTGAAATCAAATATCCCAAAAAAATGTACTGTATTTAGTGAATGAAAATCTTAGAAAATGATATTACTTCATACGAGGATTTAAAGACGCAGTTCACTGCCAGGTTGAGTAGAGGGAAATTTTATTCTTTTGAACAACCGGAAAAATGCAAAATAGAAGGCGAAAATGTGTTATACACAACGATTGGTCTCATATTGAGCTTATTCAAATATACATATCCAATGAGTTGTTTTTATTTTGTCAGAATTCAAAAGGGTTGGTGGTAGGCAGTGGTAGGGAATAGTTGTTTATGGGGCTAGTAGAGACTGATGGACATGAATTTTGAGAATAAAGGAAAAATATGAATTTCAGGTATGGGAATGCTTTACAAGGGACCACTAGTCGCCTTGTGAAAATCCTAGATCCATCACTGTTAGTCGCCTTGTGAAAGTCCCAGACCGATCTCTGTTAGTAATCCTGTAAAAATCCCAGATCCATCACTGTTAGTAATCCTGTGAAAGTCCCAGACCCATCACTATTAGTAATTCTGTGGTAGTCCCTGACTCATCATTGTTAGTAATTCTGTGAAAGTTCCAGACCCATCACTGTTAGTAATCCTGTGAAAGTCCCAGACCCATCATTGTAAGTAATCCTGTGAAAGTCCCTGACTTATCATTGTTAGTAATTCTGTGAAAGTCCCAGACCCATTACTGTTAGTAATCCTGTGAAAGTCCCAGACCCATCACCGTTAGTTGTGCTGTGAAAGTCCCAGACCCATCACTGTTAGTAATCCTGTGAAAGTCCCAGACCCATCACTGTTAGTAATCCTGTGAAAGTCCCAGACCCATCACTGTTAGTAATCCTGTGAAAGTCCCACACTCATCATTGTTAGTAATCCTGTGAAATCCCTGACTCATCACTGTTAGTAATCCTGTGAAAGTCCCACACTCATCACTGTTAGTAATCCTGTGAAAGTCCCTGACTCATCACTGTTAGTAATCCTGTGAAAGTCCCAGACCCATCATTGTAAGTAATCCTGTGAAAGTCCCTGACTCATCACTGTTAGTAATCCTGTGAAAGTCCCAGACCCATCACTGTTAGTTGTGTTGTGAAAGTCCCAGACCCATCACTGTTAGTAATCCTGTGAAAGTCCCATACCCATCACTGTTAGTAATCCTGTGATAGTCCCTGACTCATCACTGTAAGTAATCCTGTGAAATTCCCAGACCCATCATTGTAAGTAATCCTGTGAAATTCCCAGACCCATCACTGTAAGTAATCCTGTGAAATTCCCAGACCCATCACTGTAAGTAATCCTGTGAAATTCCCAGACCCATCATTGTAAGTAATCCTGTGAAATTCCCAGACCCATCATTGTAAGTAATCCAGTGAAATTCCCAGACCCATCATTGTAAGCAATCCTGTGAAATTCCCAGACCCATCACTGTAAGTAATCCTGTGAAATTCCCAGACCCATCACTGTAAGTAATCCTGTGAAATTCCCAGACCCATCATTGTAAGCAATCCTGTGAAATTCCCAGACCCATCATTGTAAGCAATCCTGTGAAATTCCCAGACCCATCACTGTTAGTTTTGTTGATAAATTCCCGGACTGATTACTGTTAGTTGTGTAGTGAAATTCCCCGACCATTACTGTCAGTTGTGCTGTGAAATTCCCCGACCATTACTGTCAGTTGTGTTGTGAAATTCCCCGACCATTACTGTCAGTTGTGTTGTGAAATTCCCCGACCATTACTGTTAGTTGTGTTGAGAAATTCCCGGACTGATTACTGTTAGTTGTGTAGTGAAATTCCCCGACCATTACTGTCAGTTGTGCTGTGAAATTCCCCGACCATTACTGTCAGTTGTGTTGTGAAATTCCCCGACCATTACTGTCAGTTGTGTTGTGAAATTCCCCGACCATTACTGTCAGTTGTGTTGTGAAATTCCCCGACCATTACTGTTAGTTGTGTTGTGAAATTCCCCGACCATTACTGTTAGTTGTGTTGTGAAATTTCCCGACCATTACTGTCAGTTGTGTTGTGAAATTTCCGGACTCATTACTGTTAGTTGTGTTCTGAAATTCCCGGACTGATTACTGTTAGTTGTGTTGTGAAATTCCCCGACCATTCTTAGTTGTGTTGTGAAATTCCCCGACCATTACTGTTAGTTGTGTTCTGAAATTCCCCGACCATTACTGTTAGTTGTGTTCTGAAATTCCCCGACCATTACTGTTAGTTGTGGTGTGAAATTCCCCGACCATTACTGTTAGTTGTGTTCTGAAATTCCCCGACCATTACTGTTAGTTGTGTTGTGAAATTCCCCGACCATTACTGTTAGTTGTGTTCTGAAATTCCCCGACCATTACTGTCAGTTGTGTTGTGAAATTCCCCGACTCATTACTGTTAGTTGTGTTGTGAAATTCCCCGACCCTTTACTGTTAGTTGTGTTGTGAAATTCCCGTTCCATTACTGTCAGTTGTGTTGTGAAATTCCCCGACCATTACTGTTAGTTGTGTTGTGAAATTCCCCGACCATTACAGTTAGTTGTTCCATTACTGTCTTTACTGTTGTATTGTGAAATTCCCCGACCATTACTGTCAGTTGTGTTGTGAAATTCCCCGACACATTACTGTTAGTTGTGTTGTGAAATTCCCCGACCCTTTACTGTTAGTTGTGCTGTGAAATTCCCGTTCCATTACTGTCAGTTGTGTTGTGAAATTCCCCGACCATTACTGTCAGTTGTGTTGTGAAATTCCCGTTCCATTACTGTCAGTTGTGTTGTGAAATTCCCCGACCAT